CTCTCTCTCTCCCCCCCCCTCTCTCTCTCTCTCTCCCCCCCATCTCCAGTGGTACTTTTCTGAGGCTCAATGACGGTACCTTCAGTTTGTCACCTTTTCAAAAAAAAGAGAGAATCACAGATGCAGCAAATGGGGAAATCATGGAAATGCAAACAAAAACTACAAGGAATAACCTTTTTTTAAGTTTTTTTAAGTTTTTTTTCTTTTTTTAGTTTTCATGGTTTTAAGTTTTAACTTTTAACCCATTTTTAAAAGGCTGGAAACTGGGTACAGCGTCCCTTACATCATATGTACTCTTAGGATAGGAAGGGTGAAAAAAAAAAAATGAAAAAAAAAGGAAGGGTGACGCAATCAAGTAGATGCGCAAAGCCAGAAGGCAGTCATATGCAGAAGAACGGAAGGGACATGACAATGTAAACGATAGGCGCGGAAAAGAGCAAGAGAAAGAGTAATAGATGCGTGAACCTAGCATCTCTCACGTCATATGTACTCATCACCCAATGCATCTTGCCGCTATGCTTGAGAGATCCCGAGTCAGCTGCATTGATTGCTGCCCGATTGGGAGGGAGGGAGGATTCACCGCTGCTCTCTCTACCCCTGCTTTTCACAACTCACTACGACTTCTTTTTTTCTTTTTTTTACTAACTACGGCTTCTAATACTGAAAGTCTTGACAGCATTGATTCAATTTGATTGCTTCCCTTTGCTGCAAGGAATAACTACAACTCAGTGAAAAACAAAACTCGCGCAACGGCAGCACCGCAACCACACAATCAAGAAATAAACTACAAACGATGTCAAATGAAATAGGAACGACGGTTACGCCATGCCAACGCTTGGCATCACCCCTGCGCAGTGTTGACTGACTCAAAACGACAAGACAATGATACATGCGGTGCTATCAGCATGAGGACGTTTCTCCAAAGTAAATAGTAAAATGCATTTAAACTTTAAAATTTAAATCATTAAATACCAAAAAAAAAGAAAAAAGACGATTGAGAAAGTATGAGAGTAATTGGGGAGTAAGACTAAGTAAGTACGAAGGTGTTGCCCGAAAAAATGGGGGTTTTAAGGGGTAGAGCGAAAAATGGGGGGTCTAAGGGGTACGGCTGGAAACCAGGGACAAAAGGATATTAGGACAAGTTAAACCACCAGTACTTGGCCCATACATCGGCCACGGGAGTTTCCCGTTAACGCGCCGCGACTGATGGGCTTCGGCCTACCGGACCACAGTGGCTGGAGGTGCCAGCCAAAAGAGAGACGAAACGACGCGGCGGCGGCTCGGCAGAACTTGGCGCGCAGGGCGTTTCCTGGCTCGGCATCAATAGCTGGGCCAAGTACTGGTGGTTTAAGGCCCGTAATAGGTATAAATGGGGCGTATAAGGCTCAGGTAGAAGAAAGGGTGATAGGGGTTGGATAAGATGCTGCTGCATGAGACTGTGACAAATAAACATAGGTGTTATGCGGCCTGAGGAGCTGCTAGGGGACCCCTCCCTGCGTCCTGTCATCCGGAAGGCTGCCCTGCTGTGCGACTGGGTGCTGCTAGTAAGTTTCCGAACCACCAGGGCAGCCCCCCTCCTCAGGGATTGGGGGGAGGGATGCCCTGTAGCAGGTCCCCCCTTGTAGGCGGCTAGAGGCGCAAGGGATAGGCTGACTCTTTCACTCGTATTCTCCCCCTTTTTTCTCGGATGTACAAATATGCTTGCCGGTGATAAGCAACCGGACTGTTGCTCCCCAGAATAGAAGGGGCCTGTTAAAGGTACGGGGGGGAGGGGGGGGGGGAAGTAGTGACAGTCCGCCTTGATAGGTGTACTATAGTAGGTTAAGGGTGATGATAGGGGAGGAATAAGTGGGATGATGTCAGCCTCATTCGGGAGGGCGGGGGGAGGGGAATAGGAGGGGAGGGGAAAGGGGGTGAGACTAGGTACGGAGTGGAAATGGCCAAGGATTATACCACAGAGTCACAGACACATATGCTGCGGAGGACACTGGAGAGAGAGGCGCAAAGATCTTGGGAAGAATGGAGAGGGAGTGGAACTAAGGAGGCTAGGAAGGTATACGAAGATAGGTAGGCTACAAAGCAAGGGCTGACACTTGAATGTATAAGGAAGGAATATGCAATTTGAATGGCTAAAATAGAATGGGGGAAATAGTAGAGAAGGAAGGGGTAATGAAACAGTTTTCACCTTTTAGCAGTAGCGGATGCAGTACCCAGGGTTTGATCCCTAGACCTCACCCTACCTATGTACAGTATCTGCATAGATCCCGAGAATTGAACCTGTGACCTGTGTATTCGCAGACAGTTGGTAGGTCTGTCGTAGGTCCATAGGCAGCAGGGGTTCGATCTGTAGGTCTATAGCGTAGAAGTCTTAGYGAGTTCCGGAAGCTTAGCTGCAGACCTTCTAGAAGGTAGGCAAGTGGGCAAGTGGTCAAGTGGCGAGGCAAGTGGTGGACTAAACCGCAGTGCAACAGCAGTACAACGTCGGTAGGATAGCGGTGAGTCCACAGTCAGTCAGCGGAAGGTCCAGTCAGTCCCAGTCCGGTTGTTACATGCTGCGCCTGCACACGCAGGCCATTTTCCAGGCCCTGCGCCCTTCAGCCAAAAAGCCTAGAATTCAGCCTGAAAACAGGGGCCTACAGTCCCTGTGTCTTTTCAAACTAAAAATGGCAAGAGCCTTTTTAGCCTGAAACGAAGGGCTATTTTCGGTCGTTCACCAGAACRACCGGCCCTGAAACTCAGGCACCAAACCAGGGTTTCGGGAACAGGCTATTCTTAGCCTGTATCCACGCCAGCCTCAGCAGATGCTGCAGCGCCAGCCCCTGGCACACTTCGGCATTGGCAAGAGCAGCCTCCTCGGGCTGGCTGGCCCTTCAGGCAGTCAGGACGCAGGCCGTGCATTGGCAAGAGCAGCCTCCTCGGGCTGGCTGGCCCTTCAGGCAGTCAGGAGGCAGGCTGTGGATTGGCAAGAGCAGCCTCCTCGGCCTGGCTGGCCCTTCAGGCAGTCAG